AAATACAGAGAGATCTACGTCTCATTAAATTTGCAAATATTTTGTTTTATTTTCATAAAATCTTGGGAAATTGTGGTGGAGCTGAACAACATGTATTTTGAAGCAGTGGACATTTTATATTTTACATTTTTTGGTTGTTACGCCTTTTTGCATTTCAGGTGACGAAATGCTTTTAACTATTATTTATATATATATATATATATATATATATATATATATATATATTTGTTTAAAACCAAAATTTGTAAAAATATCGACGGTTTAAAAATTAAACTTTTGTGTTCTTACTTCTTGATAGATATCCCACTCGCATCCCATTATGGGACTATAAAACCCTTAAAGGAATTGTATAAACTTTCTTTTGAGCAAAAAAAGGGCTCATTTTGAAAAAAATTAAAAAAAATTAAAATTTCATCTGGCAACGCAACATCTATGTATTATAGTCTTTGGTCTAAGCTTTCCTTGATAAAAAAAAAAACAACAAAAAACGTCCATTTTGAAAAATAGGGGAAAATTTAGTTCCAAATATTACAAAAAATCTTATTCTAGAGTTAAAAAATATTTTTTTTATAGATATCCCACTCGCATCCCATCCCCCTTAAAGGACATTGTATAAGCTTTCTTTTGAGCACAAAAAGGGCTAATTTTGAAAAAAAAAAAAAAAATTTAATTAAATTTTTTTTGGAAACAACGGAAAAATAGCTATCTGAAATCCTTGGTACAATTTTTGCTAGGACCAATAGGTGAAAAATTATACTCATTTGAATAAAACCCTGAATGATCAAAATGTCCAAATTTGACCCGCTCTAAGCCCGGCAGTTCTGTACCGATATTATTTATTATTCTATTAAAATAAAAAAAAAAATAAAAATTTGTCTATTAAAAAAATGATAAAACATTTTCAATTAAAAAAGAAAATTTATAAAAAAAATTAAAAGTAGAAAATTTATAAACAATTTTCTATTAAAAATGGTAAATATGTACATATATATAAACATTTCTGTTAAACAAGAAAATTTATAATAAAATTTCTATAAAATAGAAAATTTATCAAAAAAGTAAAATAATTTGTGAAACATTTTTTATTAAAATGGAAAATTTATGGATTTTTTTACATTAAAATAGAAATTTTTTTGGAAAATTAAAATAATGAAATTAAAATATAAAAAGTTATATATAGTTTTTATAGAAAATGTTCGTAAAATTTATTTTTTATAGAACAGTTGAAGAATATTAATATTTTTAAATTGTTGTTCAAATTTGTTTTAGATAGAAATAAATTTTTTTCAAACATCTAAAAGAAATTACACCTTGTTTTTTCATGTTTGCCCAGACGTTTTTATGTTTGTCGATGAATGGTGGTGAGCGGGGTAGAGAAAAATGGGGGTATGGGAAATTGTATAAGCTTTCTTTTGAGCAAAGGGCCCATTTTGGAAAAAAATAAAAAAAAATCATTTTTTTGGAACGTGGAAATGGCTATCTGAACTCGTTTGGACAATTTTTTCTAGGGCCAATAAGTGAAAAGTTACACTCATTTGAATAAAACCCTGTTTAACCAAAATGTCCAAATTTGACCCCCTCCAAGTCTAGCAGTTCTTGACCGATAGAGCTGAAAATTGTTTGGGGAAAATTCCCCCTATGTATATGAAGAATTTCGTGTCAAGTGACCCAACTTTTAAAATTGAAGTCTTCCGATTTGGATTAAATTTGCACCAAAGTTAGTACTACACAGAAAAAAGTTCCAGCATAAATATTATGAACTGCTTTCATTGACTAAAGTTAATAATATTTAAGAATAAGTTCCTAAAATGTATGAATTTTTTCATTTTTATATTTTTAAACATATGCCCCTATTATGGTTTACAACTCAACTCAGTTGAGTTGAAATTGAAACAACTCAACTTTAGAACAACTCAACTTATATTTGGTATTATGAATTACAACCAATTTCAGTTGTAATTGTGTTGATGTTGCCAACATAAAAAGTGCTTTTTTGTCATAAAATTAAGTGAAAAGTTTATGAATTTCTGTTTTTCGTAAATGACAAATGTATTGAACATCTTTTTATTGTAAATTCGCTTGAAATCAGTGATTAATGAAATTTAAAAAAAATGTTTAAAAAAAAACTTTACTTTGTTTTATTTTAAAAATTTATTCTAAACAATTGAGTTGTAATTTGTTACAACTGCTTTTGATAAGTTGTAATTTTTTTCAAAAAAGTTGTAATAAATTTAAACTTTAAATTTTAAGTTGTTATCGATAATACCAAAGAGCAAAATTTCAACTAAAGAAGAGTTGAGTTGTAAACCATAATAGGGGCAATAATCTAGAAGCCTTGACTTAAAATATTAAAAATTTTCTTTATATTTTTCTATTTGTTAAAAAATGTTTGAAATTTTCTTTGGAAAATTTTTTATTTCTTTATAATTTTTAGATTGAAAACAATGAAATATGCGCGTAACATGCAGCATTTTCTGAAGAATGGATGTTTAGCTATATGCTGATGTTTTTTTATTTCATATTTTGTTTTCCAACATTTTATTTATTTATCATAAAAATTAGCTATGTGATTATTTTCTAAAAAATGGAAGATATTAATAGGTAACGCGGATATTTATTCCAATTTTTTATGAAAATAAAAAAAAATGAACAAAAAAAACAAAAAAAAATCTTTAATGTACAAATTCATACATTTTATGAATTTTTAATATTCTGAATGAAAATGGTTTGGGAAAAAAAAGTCATGTTCGATTCATTCAATTTATTACAAAATTCATTCAAGTTATGTATTAATTTTTTCTGTGTATGCACATTGGTTCAAATCAATAATTTTTCAGTGCGAAATAAAGATCGACAAAATAATAAAAATCTTTAATGTCTAAGAAGGAGCATATGCATTATTAGGTATATTAGAACAAACAACATTAACCCATTGTCTACAATTAAGATGACATACAGCTGTGGTCAGCTAATTGGAAACGCTCTCGTTATATTACTGCTTGACGTGATTTGTATAAAATTATGAAAATATTACGTTAGATTTTTTGTTCGAAACACATGTATTTTATAAATTGATGTTGTTATAATAAAATGGAATGCATTTTGTTGTGGAACATTTCTTATTTACTTTTCAATTTTAAATTTGGTGAAAATCGCCCAAAGCTAAATCAAAGAAATTGCGACAACTAATTGGAAACGGCCATATTTTATTAAAATTTTTTTTAAGTTAAATCTAATTTTGATAAAAAATGTAATTGCATTTGGGTATATATTGTTTCTAATTTATAAGAAATTTTACATCATTATTTTTAGGCTAAGAATGAAAATAGGCCAAAGAAATTCTCTTTCCTTGGGTAGATCTATTTTTGAACATCATAAAGCTTGTAAATCTTAAAAGGATATAGGAGAAGAGCCCTATTGTTCAAAAAAATATATTTTTAATCGTTTATAGCATTTTAAGAAATATGACACTGATACTAACGCTCCACGTGAAAAATTTTCCGAAAAAATATCAGCCCATCCCAAACCGGATAATAAGACAAATCTCTAAAGCTGGCCCAAAGGAATCATCCACGGGCATCCAGCGGTAAATTTGAGAAAAATTAGATATAACGTTATCTAAGCCAACTATTTCGCGATTTTTGACGGAATCGGGGCATCTTGAGAAAGGGCGGAAGAAACCTTTTCCAACTAAAATTCAAAGAATTTGCAATATCTCTTGTATATGAAATATCGTGTTGAATTGACCTGATCTTATCAAAATTAGACGGTTAATCAGTGGAATTATTTACTTCGGAGCTTTGAAACTGAGATTAATCGTATTATACCTCAATATACAAGGTACAATAAATGGTAAAAGGTGTGGCAGATTTTCGAATGAGATATGGCAAATTCTTTAAACTTTAGCTGCTAAAGGTTTCCTTCGCGATTCTCTTCCAATATGCCCCGATTCCACCAAACATCGTGAAATAGTTGGCTAAGATAACGTTATATCTAATTTTTCTCAAATTTACCGCTGGATGCCCGTGGATGATTCCTTTGGACCAGCTTTAGAGATTCGTATTATCATCCGGTTTGGGGGTGGGCTGATGTTTTTCTGGAAAATTTTTGACGTAGAGCGTTAGTATCAGTGTCATATTTCTTAAAATGCTATAAACGATCAAAAATATATGTTTTTGAACAAAAGGGCTGTTCTCCTATATCTTTTTACGATTTACAAGCTTTATGAAGTTCAAAAATGGATCTACCCAGGGAAGGAATATTTCTTTGTTCTATTTTCATTATTAGTCCTAAAAATAATGATGTAAAATTTCTTATAAATTAAATTAATAATAATATTTACCAAAGTACAATTAAATTTTTTATCAAAATTAGATTTAACTTAAAAAAATTTTAATAAAAAATGGTCGTTTCCAATTAGTTGTCGCAATTTCTTTGATGTATCTTTGGGCGATTTTCACCAAATTCAAAATTGAAAAGGAATTAAGAAATGTTCCACAACAAAATGCATTTCATTTTATTATAACAACATCAATTTATAAAATACATGAGTTTCGAACTGAAAATCTAACATAATATTTTCATAATATTATACAAATCATGTCAAGCTGTAATATAAAGAGAGCGTTTCCAATTAGCTGACCACAGCTGTATATGTATAACACAAGTTTTTTCATTTTGGAATGACTTGTCTGACTCGCGAAAGTTTTTTAGAACTAGTTTCCAGCGTGATGGTCTTTGTTTCTAAGCAGCGATGAAATTTTCCATTTTGTTGCTAAGAAATTATGATAATTAGGACCTTTAAAAACAGTAACAGCAGTTCTGGACCGATGCGCTAAAAATGTGTGTCTGGCCTACTATCCAATAGTTCTAAACTTGATTCATCCAAATCGGAAGACATCGATCACTTGACACGAAATTCCCCATATGTATGTATTATGTATATATGTATGCATATGAATGCAGATTTCTAGATTGGATTGATGAATTTTTATACTTACATTAGGACTCTTTTTCGGCAAATAAACTACGACATCATTTTGTAGAGAACTCGAAGTTTGTAGAAATAAAATCAACAGCTGTCTATCGATAATATCTAAATCCCACCAGCCCTCGGTTGCCACAGCTATTTTATGTCCAACAACGAGAGAACAAAACAAAGAGCCGCATTGTGTACTAAACTCTTCATTCAGGAATTGTAACATTTGAGCATTTTCGGTGGAGAGCAAGCAATTAGAAAATCCTAAAAGCTGACTTATACACGTATCTAGTATACCGTCAATAAGACGTAGATAATTTTTGGACTCCTTCTTCAGTCTTTCTAATAGGGATGGATGGGACATCTCGTCTCTGCTGATAAATAATGAAAATGCACCAAAAATAAGTTCTGGCAACAATTCAGCCGTATATCTACTGATGCCACAGGAACAAATGATAACTGTAATCGCATTGAAAAAATCGTGCCACACATAAGTCCAGTTATTAGCATAAGTAGTGTACAATGCAACCCCTAAAGATTTGAAGAACATATGCAATCCATTCAAAGAAGCAATCGTTGAAAATGGTAACTAACATTTAAGAAAAAATTACTATTGACATAAGAAAAAAATAAAAATATGTATATTTACTTACATTCTCACAATTACCTTTTTTGCGAGTTAAAATTGGTAATCCTCCATTCGTAGTCAAACAAATCAAATATATAGACATATTTTTTGTAAATTACTACAATATTTGAATGTTTTGTTTACGGAGAGTTTGTTTACTAAAATTACAACCAGCGTTGCCACTTTGGTCCAATTGGACCAAAATTGGTAGTTTCAAATCTCTGAAATGACTTTTGGTAGTTTGGTTGGTAGGTTTAAATTTTGGTCCAAATTTGGTAGGATGAGATAATTTGATCTCATGCATATGAATTTATAAACATTTCTGACCTTGTTATGGCAAAGTAATAAGAATTTTAATAAATACGTCAATCTTAGGTTTATCCTTGTTCTATGAAAATATTAAGTTTCTATGTATTTCAACATTTCTGATTCGTGAATGTTATTAAGTTAGTTAGTTTGAAATGAGGATGTTATATAAAATCCGAAGGAATACTTGTAGGCCTGCATCGGTCCCGTTGTGCACTTCCTAACCAATGCCTCAGGTGGGAATCGAATGCACGACGTCAGGTCTGACTATAACATAAACCACTAACTTACTGGAGGCCACACTAATTCATTTTTTTCTAAGAAGATTCATGAATAAATATATAATTTGGTGGGTCTACTACCTTACAAACGGAATCACAAAATTAATATACCCCAATCCTTTTTTGATGGGTATAAAAATATTAGGGGTATATTGATTTTGTGATTTTTTCTAGGTTCTTATTAGATTCTAAGACGATATAGCCATGTCCTCCCGTCTGTCTGTTGAAACAGTTTTTTAACAACCGAAATCTATGTCGATTGGTCCACGATTGATCCTATTACAGCCATATATCCCCTTTTACGGAAAATAATTTTATTATCAATAAATAGCAATTAGTATAATAAAAGGATTTATCCATAAAGTCCTCAATTTATACGATAGATGCTGATGGTGGATATACATATATGATTCATCATAGCCGAATATAATACTATTACAATTTTCTCGGGAATGATTTTTGTACAAATTTTGTCGAAAACAGCAATTATGTATTTCATAACTATATAGTATTTGGAAATTTTGTCTTATTACGTAAAAGTAAACCATTGTTTATTTAGAACAAATCATTGTATGATATTACATATTAGTTTTAAAAATAATGGAACTCTAAACAGAAGCAATTGTACCTAAGGAAAAATTTGGTAGTTTTTGTAACGTTTTGGTAGTTTTTTGTCGGAACTTTGGTAAGAAAAATAAATTGTGAGTGGCAACGCTGATTACAACTACTCAATGTCACAGAGCACTGCGCCGACAAATATTAACGGCGGTGGCGACTGACACTAAATATGTCGGCGGCGGCTTAAAATCGACTGTAAGCCGGCTAAGTTGTCAACTACGTTTAGTTTTTAAACTTTCGACGATTTTAAATAAAAACGGAATCCGAGAGATCAGAAAGTGGGATTTTGGAAGAAAATATATTGTTTATAACAACAAAACAGAGCAAGCACAAAAGTTGTATGAGAAATTATGCAGGGATGGATAAAAAATTCTTAAAAATTAAAAACAAATCCTTTCTCCAAGTTTTACGAGGATCTGCCGATATTTAACCCTATCCTCCATATAAAACATCTTGCAGAAAATCAGTTTCCAAAAAAATTTTGCATTAAGAAAATGATCAATAACGTAAAAACAAAGATATTTTATTTGTTTATTTACTAGCAATACCCAGTGTGCTGTGCTACCCTAAAAGCAATATAAATAAGAAATCCATTTAACGATTTTGATGATACTAACTACAATGGTTTTCCAGATATACAATTTGTTACATATGGGAGATTCTTCGCAAATTATAGCAATTTTGCCAATTATTCCGAACGTTAATTAAGATTTTAATTTAATCTATAAAAAATATTAATAATCTAATAGTTTCCCAGATATACAAAATTTTGTATTTAATTTATATGGGAAGTGCCAAGCCCCCGATTGAAAGTCCGCCCGTTATTCACTAAATGATCTTCAGTAAAATTTGAAGATTCTAGCTCTAATAGTTTCTCAGATATACGAATTTTTCTATTTAATTCATATGGGAGCTCCAAGTCCCCCAGATGAAAGTCCGCCCTTTTTCTCCAAAATGTTCAGATGAATATTAAAGTTCTTCGAGCAAAATTTGAAGAATTTAGTTCTACTAGTTTCCTAGATAAACGAATTTTTGCATTTAATTCATATGGGGGGTTCCGCTCCCCTCATTGGTAGTCCCCCAATTTATTTCCCAAAATGTTTACATGGATGTTAAAAATCTTCCAGAACGACATCATTTAAAGGGATCACAAAGAGATTGAAAAATATTCCAAAAGTTGTAGCATATAACAGTTTGAAATAATGTATGAATATTTGTCTTTTGTATGAAGTGAAGAAGATGTAGCATGCTTTCAGTTCCGACTGCTGTCTCGTCGGCTAATGGTAGGATTCTTACTTCTATCACTCGTACAGATTAAGTATTAGCTAATACAGAAAGATAAATTTAAAATGCATGCTTTTAGGGTTGATTATTAAGAAGGGAAAATAGAGGCTACAAGGGGGAAAATAATTTGAATATTCACGTTATATTTGAATTCACTTTCGTTGCATTGTTTGTGTTCGATGTTACCACAAATAATATACCCATTCCCAACCATGATCGTGTATTTTGCTCATCTGTCATTAAACACGATCCCAAATACAATTACCTATATACCGGTACCTTTAAAATCAAACTGATAGAATTTTAGTTACAATTCATTTTTATAATATTTATTAAAAATAGAAATAAATTTACCAACAAAGACTTTAATGGCTAAAGTAAAATTAAAGTTCACTATTTTCGAACTGTAGTATCATCATTCACTAATGATATATACTTATGTGTGTACATTTAATAAAAAAAATTCTAATAAAGATGCAAAAATTACCACACTGTGATATCGTAAATAGATTACCTTGATTAAAAAATAATTAAGTAAATATTCGTAATTAAACGCAAAAAAAAAAATAAAAATAAATAACAAAAAAAAATTTTGTCTCCGACAGGAGTTGAACCTGTAACCCAGCAAGAACACTAAGGTGTGTGTGTGTTTTGTTCTTAACTCTTATCGATTTCTAACTATTGTTTTGTTTTGTGTTTATAATTGAAATAATTAATTAGAAATTAAATCAAATAATCCCAATTTAATTAAAAACAATTAGTAAACGATAAAAAAAATATAAAAAAAAAATTAAATCTTGGTCAGGATTTTAATCTGGATTGCTCAATACACAATTTGTTGGGCAATCAGAATTCAGGCCGGTTGCTTAAGTTTGTTTGCAATTGAACTCGTTTAGTTGTTGTTGTTTTAATTTTCTTTCTATTTGTTGTTTACAACGATTTCAAAAATAAATACATAATTTTCCATTAAATTATTTGTTTCTATTTACACCAATTTTATTTTATTAATATTTAGTTATTATTTGATTTTCAATATAGATATTTAAATTTAACGGATAAAAATAAAACAAATTATGTAAAAAAAATACCACTCTATATGTATAAAACAAAACAAAAATACGATCTAAAAATAGGTCTGGTGAGTTTTTCAAATGTGGTGAATTCAAACTAGCCAATCAAATTGTGTATTTTTCTAGCTTTAGTAAAATGTTAATAGTAATTAATTATGTTTTCTATGATAATATATTCATTAAGAAACCCTTTTCTTACGTTTTTGGTCTTATTTTGACGGATTTTTAATTTTCTACCCGATTTTAATATTTGTTAGTGACTTTTAGATCAAATAGGCGGTGTTATAGGGCACGAATATATTATGGTTAATAGTAGCACCGTTTTAACATAATTAATCACTGTAGCTAACAGGCCAAGAAAACACTTTACATTCTAAGATTCATTCAGCACTATAAAAGTAGTTTTAAATATGTGTTAAAATAGGGAAAAGGAAACTTACATTTGTTTTCATGCACTGCAATTCCAACGATGAAAGATCTTTCACTGTCGTATTGGTGAATCCAAAGTTTGTTGATTTTCGACGATGAGAATGACCCTTTAGTTTAAGTTTTTTTAAGTTTTGTCACACACTGTTCACCTATGTTAAGTATAGACGGGGTTTGTGATTCGCTCAAATACTGTCTTTATTGAACCGATTTAATTTGTTTTTAACTCTTTTTTATCATTTTTTTTAGTACTTTTTCTCTGTTGTTTTTTTTCTTTTTATTATTTCATTTTTATAATTTTTTTGACACTTGTTTTAAATTTTTTTTCTTAAAAACCTTGTAGTAATTTTTGCATTAACAAAATTTTAACATTAACTTTTTAATTATATGTAAATATATCTATTTTTTTTTTCAATTTCATATAATCCATAAATTATTTTTATTATAAAATTTTCAAAAAACACTAAATTCGTCACTTGATCCAAGGTATGGAATATTAATTACTTTATTTTCTGCTTCTTCTTTTTGTTTTGTTTTCTTTATCTTTCAGGAATTGTGTTTTTTTTATATATTTGTCCCTTGGCAATTTATATTAAAAAAAATGTGTCTTCAAGAAAATCCAATATAATTCACTTTTTCACTATCACATTTGCCCTAATTTTTTTTATATCTACGGGACACTTACTAGCTCCTGTCTCGGATTATAATCGCCGTTTTCCTTAGATTTCCCTGGATGATTATGGGGGATAACAAGCGTATGGCCTGCAGGTGGTCAGCAGAAGATGTAGAATAGACCAATAGATGACAAAATTTCCTTTAAATAAAGAGTTGATAGATTCCTGTAGGGTTTAGAATCCAAAGAATTGTGAATTAGGATTCCGTGTTTTATTTGTTTATGCAAAATCTATGTATATAGTATATTTTTTCTCAATCTTACCCAAAATTTGTCCGTAATGAGCTTGCGGCTGTGATCTTTCTTCCTTCTTTCGTTTTTTTTTTTATTGAAGCAAGTTTAAACACTATTAAGTAAAACTTTTTTTTTAAATAAATATCTTTTAGTCTATAAACACAAAAATTTATAAATATTTATAAATATATTATGTCTATAAACAAAAAATATTACAATTATGAAATTAAACTTCTCAGAATTACATTAATACACTTTTTTTTAATGCAATTATAAAAAAATTAAATTTCAAAATTTTA